AGCCATCATTGTTGTTTGGCGGGCCCAGGCTGGGGATTCGAACCCGCCACCTTAGGTGTATGTGGCTGGCGCCTTAGCCACTTGAGCCACAGGTGCTGAGCCTATTTAGGTTATTTCTAAAGGCAGATTCTTATTTATTTATTCAAAATATTAAAGAGGTAAAAATGGTTTTGTTACATGGATAGGTTTTTTATTTTTTTTTTTCAGAGACAGGGTCTCATCGCTATGGGTAGAGTGCTGTGGCATCACACAGCTCACAGCAACCTCCAACTTCTGAGCTTAAGTGATTCTCTTGCCTCAGCCTCCCAAGTAGCTGGGACTACAGGTGCCCACCACAACGCCTGGCTATTTTTTGTTCTTGCAGTTTGGCCAGGGCCGTGTTTGAACCTGCCACCCTTGGTATATGGGACCGGTGCTCTACACACTGAGCCACAGGTGCCGCCCCGGATAGCTTTTATAATGTTTAAGTCAGGACTGTTAATGTGTCCACCACCCAAATAGTGTTCACTGTACCTCTTATGGAGGTTTTTCCCCTGTTCTAAAGGGAGGTTCTTAAAATGGGGTTACTGTGTGAGAGGGTATGAACTGTGTTAAGAATCTCATCATATGTTACCAAGTTATTTTCTGAAAGTTGTATAAACAAAAAAAATTTCTTTCATTTCCAGCTTTGTTGACATCGTTTATGAAAGAGAGAGGACAGATGGTATATCCTCCTTCATTTTTTCCATACAAACAAAAATGCCCTGAGTCATAAGATTACCTCAGGGTTTAGAAAGAACATTTATGTTGTGAAGTGTTCTATAAAAAAAAAAAAAGAGCATTGAAAAGACCTCCTAAAAATATTTATTGATTTGTTCATTCATTCACTAGGCTTCTATTGAGCACCTCTCATTGGCTAGGCATAGTACAGTGCTAGACATCAGGAATAAAATAGTGGATGAGAGCTCACAGTCTGGTCAAGTTAAATGAGGGATTCCCTGGAAGAGAGCCCTCAGGGGAAATAGCTTTGTAGCAAAATCAAACTCCTATAGTAAAAAGAGAAGGGACTGGGGAGACTGTGGCATATAGGGGAGAACATGCCTCCCCTAAAGGAAGTTTGGTGCCTCTTAGCACTGGCTGATCGTTGAACACAGGCCCAAATTGCCAGATCTTTTGGGTTTTTTTTTT